CAACTTCCCCATATTTCATTCCTTTGGGAATCATAGGGTTGGTTCAAAAATGGTTGCCCTATGATGCACCATTTAGCCCAGTTAAAGGTTACCAAAATGAGAGTTTTAGTAATATATAGAGAACAATTTTGTGGGAGCAACAAGGAGAATTAGTGTCCACTTACACCAAATGCTCAAAACATTCATTGACAACATCAAATGGATATCATCTCCCCTCTTATTGTCTCCAAATAGGAAGAAAAAAAAGATCAAATGAATATCATCTCCCCTCTTATTGTCTCCAAATAGGAAGAAAAAAAAGAAACAATTCCCCATATTTTGTTGTACTTATTATCATGAAATAAGATGGCACTGCTGTAACCACCTTAGAATTTATATCTGCTTCTGCTATTGTCTGTCCTCTGATATTGCGGATACAATTTATTATGATAGATGCCAAGAAGGCAGACAGAGCTGAATTTGTGCAGATTGCTTTGGGGGATGGGGGTGGAGATTCTCTGCTGAAGAAAGATATTTATGCCAGCTAAGGACTTGCCTGACTGTTCTTTCCATTATGTCATGTCAGCTTCCTTTAGTCTGTATTCTCAAAATGAATTTGACTGTAATTCTAACCAGACCTAGCCAGCACTAGCCTGCTAGATGAAAAACCTGTAAATTGTGATCTACCATATCTGTAGGGTTTTAGATCAGATTATGCTATCAGAGAAAAGTTAACATTTTGTTAAATATAGGTACAGAAAATTTTTTGTACCATAAGTCTAAGTGTAAATCTGAATAATTTTTTTTATTTTCCCTATGTTTCAAAAGGAGGTAATTTAGGATTTATAGTGATTCACATTCTTAATCCAACATTTTAATCTGTATCTGCCATAATGGTTCTCAGATGGCCTATAAAAAATCCTTTACTTTTCTGTTACTGATTGTAACACAGAGAGCAGTTCATAGTAATACCTAAGGTCTTAAAGGTGAAGATTGTCATGAAGCAAAGTGTTAGAAAAAAATTAACTCCCTATGGATCCCTATGGAAATGAACATGATCCCTTTGACCTTTTATTCTACTAGTGTCTGAAAACAGAATTTTAAATACACTTTCACAATCATATTTCCTGGTTAAGTGAGAATTTGATTAGAGTCAGTATAAGGTTCAATGACATGTCTATCTTTTTTTTTTCAGGCTAATCCAAAGGAAAGTGATATTGGGAGCTTTAAATATTAAGCAGTTTGGTCTAGTAGTTACAGCTACAGGCTAGAGACCAGGAGATTGAGTTGTATTCCCACTTTAGGCATGAAAGCCAGCTAAGTGACTTTGGGCCAATCAGTCTCTCTCAGCTCAACTCATCTCACATGATTGTTGTTGAGGGAAAAAAGAGAAGGAAGGAATATTAGGTATGTTCGCTGCCCTGAGTTATTTATAAAAATAATAAAGGTGGGATTAAAACATCTAAATAAAAAGTAAACATAAAAAACCTCCTATTACGAGATTTGAGATAATATTTTTGTTCTGTTCACTCAACACCTGCATGTCCTTCAACATCTGATTCCTGCAGTTCTGAATTTGATTCTCATTCACTTTCAAATGGCTATACAAGGCAGTACATGCAGGTCTATGGCAAGGGCAGTTCCAAAATGTTGATGGCCATCTGGTTTATTTATATCAGGGCTCTTCAAACTTGGCCCTTTTATGACTTGTGGATTTCAACTCTCAGAATTCCTCAGCCAGGCACGCTGGCTGAGGAATTCTGGGAGTTGAAGTCCACAAGTCATAAAAGGGCCAAGTTTGAAGAGCCCTGATTTATATAAGCAATATGGTAGGTGTGATCCATGAAACTGGAGACAATCTAGTCAACTTAGAAGGTTCATATTAATACTGAAGTTATGCTATCATCCCATAAACTGGTGATGTGTCCATAGAGTGGGAACTCAAAAAGCAGGATGAACTGAGACATCTTTTCCGATTGAAGCTCATCTGATTTCTCCAGCATTAGTTTTTGTAAAGCTGCCATAAGCAGCTTAAAAAGCATGTTCTAATGCAGTAGTTGAAAGCATCTGATGGTGTTACATCCAGTTCAAAGTCAGCAAAAGCTTCTAAAATGCTTTCATTTAATTGCTTGAAAATATTACAATATGAAAGCTTGATTTTATCAACAAAACCACAGGTGGTACCACAGCCTCTAAAAGCATTAAAAACAGTTACTGCATTTATTCTTTCTCACCCTAAAGCCTCATAAATAGGTTGAACAGGAATTTTCTGTTGATTGCTGCCAAGTGTGCAGAGGTCTGTTGATTAGTTGAAGTGCTAGTACTTTATTAGAATACATATATCCAAGCAAGAAGACAACTCAGGAAATTTCTTTTTAATACCTACTTATGTGCTCTTTAAATGGATCAGTTGATATTAAGTGCCAGTATTGTAGTGAAGTTGCTATTGATTGTTGAATTTGTGAATAATGTTATGACCCAAGTACAATACTGTAATCATTCTACTATTGCTTAGAGATTGGACCACATTTTCAGTAAAATATTCCTGATCCTATCACTATTTGAGGCAACATACAATTGGCAGAGTCCCTTGATAAGCGTTTGATATAAGCAATATTTTTCACTTGACATTGGAAAGTTGAACGTGTTTTATATTTTATCACAAAATAAGGAAAGAAATTGTGAAGTTTTCACAAAAATTAGGAAACAGAGATTTACTGTGATGAGAGGGATGAGATGTGAAGAGGGGGGAGCTTAGAGTCCTTGCCTAGCACAAAGCGGTACAGGCCTTACTTCCCCCAGAGTCCCTGACCCTATCTGACCATTCCCAAGAGAATGCAGTTATTCTGGCAAGATTTTTGTAAATAGGCATTGCAACAATAAAGAAGTAACTTTGATCAATTCATGGTTTGTTGTGCCTGACACTAACCAAGGCTTTGCAACAAAGTTGTTCCTTCAAACATTGCAATCCAAATGTGTCTATATTGGCTAGTCAACTTTTCTTTGCTAGTTTACTATAGGAATGCAATCATCAAAAGCGTGCAGGGAATTAGAACTATGCTGATGGTTTATAAGTGCTAATGGCATTTTAAAATTTAAACTGCACACAAGATCATAAGAAAAAGCACACTTTTACATCAGCAGAAAACTGATGAAAAAAAGATGTGCACTAAGAAAAGTATGCATGGGCATTTATGTTAGGAAAAATACGCAAGATTATTTCAATATTAATTTTGTGCATTTTGTTTTCATCAGATTTTGAAATCAATGTATAACAGGGCCAATGTGAACTTATGTTTGGAAAAATAACAGCCTGAGCAATGGATACATTGGGAGTGCTTACTAGTGTTTCATACAGCTTGATGCAGTATTATTAAGAAATCTCAACAACTTTGAAGAATTCTCATAGTTTAGCATGTTTGCTACATACAGTGAAAATTAATTTCTAAAATATTTATTGATATAATATACATAAGCTCTTTATTAGCTCACATGGCAAAGCTAAGTTATAGATTGAGTTCTGAGTGATAGTACTGATGAGGTGCTTTTATCTAAAATATTTTAGAAATTCTGGGTTCCTCCTCCTGTTGCATATAGTATTTTTTCTACCAGTTCTTTCACTCCAAATCTAGATAAAAGTTATCAAATATATAATATGGTTATGGTTAATTTGCTGTTATACAATGGAATATACCAAGTCCTACAGCTGCAAACACATTACTTTTAGCAGGTGAAAATGCAGATGCCAAACAATAGAGGGAATTTACATTTTAGGAAATAATGCTCCAATATTTGGCTATCAATATGGAATAGCATTAGATTTTAATAATTTAATAATTATCATCTTTGAACACCCATCCCTTGAAGCAAAGTTATAAATACCTTTGGAGAAAATCCCAAGTGTGCTTATAACTTTATTTTTGCTTGCAATTGATTGCTCTGCTAGCCATTGGATTTATGCCCTTTGCTTAAAATCAGCCCTGGTGTTTTCAAATCATATTTTCTAACAGCCTAAGGGGAAATGGAGGAATTCTGCATTAATTAATGCTGACATACCAAGGACAAAAAGTCCTGCTTACAAGAGGAATTTGGCTTGGGAGTAGACTGGACTGTTTAAGTGACACCAAGCACTTCAAATCTAACAGAAAAGATACAGTGGTCATATAAAAATAATTGTTACTATTTCTGCCTTTCAATAATAGAAATCATACATACAGAGACACAATACGCAAACAAAAGACTGCTGCTAAGTAACAAAGAAATGTGGGGAAGACAATTCATTTAGTAAGAAAAAACTTGAGTGGAAACAACAAACATAAAAAACAATAAAATAATCCTTAGTGCAGAACAAATGGAGCTGAAATAATTCTGTTGGCTAATTTTGGAACAGAAGGCTCAAGGCAACATATATGAAATGCATATTTATTTGTTAAGCAAAAATTGTCATCATATATCACAGAGCATTTGCTTCCACAGGAAGTGGTAATAGCTAAATAATTTAGATTTTGAAGATTAGCAGAGAAGAGTCACAGATGAGATCAGCAGCAGAGCAGCTGAGGTACAGGCAGGAAGTCCCACACTTAATTCATTCACCTTCAAAGAAAGATTGAAAAAGTCCTATCTGAATCTGAGCAAAGCAGCTATTAAATCAGTGAAAATAATACTGGGTTAGATGGACCCATCACCTCTTGCCAAAGAATAATTAAGTTCTTATTTCTATGGAGAATTTATCTGATTATTTGCTACAATACCTAAATTGCAAGAATGCCCACAACATGTTCTCAACATCCCAAATGTGAACACCAGTCCCAAAAAATTAGGGATCCCTGCTATTGTAAGGAGCTCACTAGAATTGCAACATTAAAAGCATTAAGAGACATGGCAGTTCCATTGAAGTACAAGTAAAGCTTTCTAGAAATATTTCCAATCATATGGCTGACCTGAATTCTAAAATAATTCTTGGGATTCCAAGTGCCATAGCAAGGACATAAACATAGATTGGTTCCCGTGTACACACTTACCAAACAGTTCATGATTTCCACTCCATTTGGATTCACAGTTAATGCTTCATCATACAACTGCTTAGCCTCTTCCAAGCTGCCGTTCATCTCTGCAAGCCTCCCCCGCATGTACAGCACAGCATGAGATGTGGGAAAGAGACTGGCTGCCTCCTGGATACAAAAGCTTGCTTCTTTGAGATGCTGTTGCTCCATGAAGACTTCAGCTACAGAACCCAAAACAAAGCATGGATATATTCTCAGCTTTATTCTGGAGACCATAAAATATTCAGTATATTAATAACTTAAAAATAATCACCACAGGAAAAATAATTTGCTTATGACACATGGATTTCCAAAAGGTGCTAGATATGTATGGAACAGAGAATCATAGGGCTGAAGGGACCTTGGAGATCTTATAGTCCAGGCCCAAGGCAGGAGACCTTATACCATCTTGGTCAAATGGTTGTCCAGTCTATTTTTTAAAATTTCCAGTGATAGAGCACCCACTACTCCAGAAGGCAAGTTATTCAATTGATTGTTCTCACTGTCAGAATTTCCCCCCCCTTATTTCTAGGTTGAATTGTTGGTTGCACAGTAGCCAGATGTTAAGAATGGATTTGACATTTTTGTCCACTTATTGAGTATTTCTGAAGGGACTTTTCCAAAGATAGGCAGATACTGTTGTTCGATAATATTAAAGGGATGATGATGATGATGATGATGATGATGATGATGATGATGATGATTTTTTCTGGCCATAAAATGAATTTTTCATTTGGTCTACTTAAACCAGGCCTGCAGAACATGTGGCCTGTCACCAGATTTGTGTGGCCTAGTGACTTTTTGAAAACTCATTGAATTTGCTGCTGCCAAATGTTGATACTGCCAGGAAGATCCACAGTCTCAGCCTAGTTTTCCACAGCCAACTCTGACTCCAAATACATGCTCTCAAGCACTTCCAGGGCTCACTGACATCACTGCTGCTGCACCCCCCAGCCACTAAACAATTGGGTCATACCAGCTTTGTGGCTCACAATTACTTTTAAGATATTAATATGACCTGTTCCCCTCTATTTGTGCCTGCCGGACTTAAATCAACAAAAAGATAGATGACAACTGGATTTTAAAGAAAAGTAGCTTTTAAAAAATCTTTCTCATTTCTCACTATTTGGTAGAATACAGTCCTTTCTTTGGTTTTTTTCTGCCCTTACAACAAATATGTGGATTCATTTAGAGCTTTCTCCTTTGTTATCACTCTGTGGGGAAGAAGACTGTAATTCTTTTGGTGAACATATGAAGCTATTTAATACCAGGAACACTGCCTGCTCTGAAACTAGGTTTCTAGTGGGGGGGAGTTTTTTTTATCAGTTTAACAAAAAGCAGCTCAGCCTATCAATATTTCTAATGAAAGAGAAAATATACAAGATCCAGGCCTCTTACAGGATATATGTGGCCCAAAGAACTGCTACACTCGCCAGATCGAAAAATACTTGTGCTCTCCTGGCAATTTTTTTTTTAAATCTTCCTTTGTTATTAGAGAAATGATAGCAGTATTTGCATACAAATAAAGCTGGCCATTGCTGATAAGAGAGAATCAGTGAATTTATTTTTTTATATTTATATCCTTTTTATTTGAACCCAGGGTACTTCACATAAATTGGGGAGGGGAGGGGAGGAGAGGAAAAGTGAGTGATATAGTACAATATTGTGATGCAAACACTATCCCTTACATAATTGTATGTGATGTCATGCTACAAATGTGGAAAGGCACAGTTCGTGTTTAGATATCACAATGTACATTTCATGACTTTAGTGTCACTATGGTTATGAGTGAACCCTATAACAACTGTAGGGATCTTCTTCATGTTAACTCTAAAACAATCTTGTGAGGTAGGCTGAGAAAGAGTGTTTAACATAAAGTCATCAGCAACTTTCAACAACTGAGGCTAACCTTGATTCTGGTTCTCTCTTTGACCCTGAATTCAACATTTCAAATATTAAATTATGTAGATTCTCTAAATCTTTTCTCCATGAAGGAGAAATTCACAATAACATGTAACACCAAAACCAGAGATTGCTAAAAAGTGCATTAAAGAAACAAGGACTCATATTAGATAATATATTAAACGAAATATGACAATATCCCCCCAAAAACAAATCAAATATAGGGTCCAAACATGAACTTGATGGATATTAATGAATTCTGACTCTCCATGGGCAACTCAGTGTTCCTAACTCTTTTGATTTTATCTCTGCGATACCTCAGGAGCCTTTTGTATTTATGAACCACTAGCAAGCAGGCAGCAAGAAGGAAGTTTACATGTGTGTCCTAACGTGGCTTTTTCCTGACCTCAGCTCATAGGAAATTACTTAGGAAATCTGTGGAATTCAAATATTTTATTTCTGGGAAAGGTGAAGAAGAACATGGTGGTCCAGTTGAGTGTTCCTGCATTTTCTGGCAAATGGGATATTGTTAGGCAATGGTTTCCTTCATGTACTGTAGGCAACGTTTAAAAACCTGCTTGGGAAATTTCTACATGACATTGTTTATGGTGCTTCATAGGATTTATCTTATTGTCATGCTGTTTAACATATGCATAAAACTGCTGGGGTGACTTCCAGAACTTTGAAATGGTGTGTCACTATTACAACTGATACTCTATCACCTCTATTTTTTTTTTTTACTATGCAACTGCCAGGAAACAATTGGTATCCTTGAATATTGCTTAAGTTAACAAGGGGAGAGTAAAATGAAAAAGCTGCAATTAAATCAAAACCTGACAGAAATGTGTAGATAAGAAATGGGAATTGGGAATCAAAGTTCAACTTGTTTTGAAAGAAGTTGCATTATCCCTGAACCATCAGGTCTGCAGTCCCAAAGTGCTCCTTGTTCCTTACCTGCCACTGCTTTTAGGGACAATGGCAAGAAGTACTTCCACACAATTAAGGCTAGTGAGCCAGCTGGTCAGTTTTGGTTGCAATGATCTATGCCTAAATATAATTACATCTCATCTTGACTATTGCATTATATTCTATGTGGCTATCTTTGAAAACTACTTGAAGATTGCACACAACATATTTGACAATTAGGCAAATGTTAAGCAATGCGAAGTGCAGAAACTACATGATGCCTGCACTGAAACAGCATATGTTGTATTGGCATTTAAAGCTCCAAATGGCTATAGGCTTATCTGTTACGATTTTGTCCTGTTAAGAACTATGTGGTCATTAACATCTACAGGAGAAATCCTTACGAAGATTTCCCAATTACATAGATTTTTTTTTCATATTGCTCCCAGGCTATGGAATATACTGTACTTTGGCCCTCTCTCAGCATTTAGAAAATCTATGAAGTCAGAATTCTTTCACTAGGATGGCAATTGTTAAATTATGTTAGCATTCCTTTTGTATTTCAATACTGAATTTGTGTTAAGTTAGTTGCCATGAGTTCTCATCTGAGCAAAAAAATAGGATATTTATTAAGTAGATACAAGTATATCTTATAGATTTATAGATATACTATAAAAATATAGACAATCTCTAGACCATTAGATAATTCTTTACATCAGAAGTGAACTCAAAGGCTTAAAATCTTCACTACAAGAATCAGGGAAGGGGGGGGGGTTTCAGGGGCTTTAAAGCAGAAATGAGTATCCTAACCATCTGTCAGACTTAAAGTATCCAGTTTGACCCACAACACCACTCTCAAACTCCTCCCAATTCAAGGAATTTGGGCTCCACCTACTTTGGGGACCACAAAACTGATGGTTACTTGCAGTTCTGAGTCCTCTTGTTTTATATTTCTTTTTCAAACTGTTGCAAAATCTCAGCTCTAAATTCCCATTTTGTATTGTTGGGTGGATCTAATTGACATTGATATGCATATCCCTAGACAGAGGTAGTCATCATAATGAATTTTGGCAACATCACAAGCATCATTCTTTGCTTCTAAGATTTAAATAGCTCATTATAGTGGAGATCAATACACAACCTTGGAATCTCAATTCCTTCATGTTTGATGTTAACAGTTTCAGAGAATCAAAGCCATTCCATCTTATTTGATGAGAATAAATGGAATGGCTGAAAACTGTCCTATTTGACTCCTTCTATCATCTGTTTGCAGTCAATCCAACTGCCTGAATAGAGAGGAATTATGTAGGACTGCACCATTTAGTTCTATTTTGAGACCAGCTTCCTTTGGCCCCATTATAAGTATTTTATATATTGATGAAACATTCTTCTTTCTTTTATGTTCTTTTCTTTTCTTTTAAATTGTACATTTATCAGTCTTTAAATTGCCTCTATTGTTTTGCTGCAAAAAGAAATAATAACATAAATACATCTCTGGAAACTATTGATCCGATGGAAACCATTCTGGGAATCTTTTCAGCTGAATAATAAGATAGAAATTCTTTAAAACAATCTTGTTTAGCTTAAGTTTAAAAACGTTTTGCATAACTGAATGTTTCATAAAGGAGCATTAGAAAAAAACAGGTCATTTTATTTTAAAACTATTAGCAACCCCCCCCCCCCCAGATGTATTTACTAGAAATACTGGGCAAGAATACTAATGCAATCTGCTGACATGGATCAAGTTTTGTTACTGTAAACATTGTTATGATCTATGTACAACAGTTATTAAGCCCTCATAAAATCTTTAGATGACTATTTTGTTTTTACTGAACTGGTTTATTAAAGCTAAAATATTTCAACAGAAAATTAGTAATTCTTCCTAATGCTATTGGAGAAAAATATTTTTAAAATAAATAATTACGATTATTCAGTTTCCTGGTATCAGATACTATTAGACTACCAAGGTAAGAGCTGACAACATTAATATTGTCACAGTAACAAAAGAAAGAACAGAAAACAATTATTTTCAATCTTTAAAAGCAGAGTTTCTCAAACTTTTTTCCCTGGAGAAATCCTTGAAGTAATTTTCAGGTCTCAGAAAATACTTGTATTAAAAATTGCAAAAAATACAAAAACTTCACAATACAATTCACATCTAACCTACTCACAACCCATGTTTTACAATGCTTACAATAATAAAGGAGCAGCAGGCTGCAGCTGAGTCACAGCATGCAATAATGATCACTACTGTGAATGCTAGTATTATGTAGCATGCATAGTTCAAAAAAAAATGTCAGTCATAATCTTGCATGGAACCCTTAGTGTCTTGACAAAATCTAGTTGTAAAAGGTTGCTGTAAAGTAACACCTTC